AAATCTGGCAAATCCCAGATTTTGAAAAAACAAATTTTATCTCATTACAAGTTAAAACAGCTTCTAGCTTAACAATTAAATAATTGTTATTGTGTGATTCGAACATAATGAAATAAACCAGAAAAAAACCATTATAAAATAAATATTTTAACCTAATGCATTATTTAAAAATATTTTTAATCTAGTTTTGTGGCAGTATTTTATCAGATAGTTAATACATTTTGATCATGTCGCCTATTTAACTTCAGGTTTAAGTAACTTGGAGGAAACAGGATAAATTGGCCTTCAATTTTCAATTACATTACTATAAACTGAAAAAATTTAATTTGTATGGTGGAAATTGGTCATAATTTAACTCTCCTGTAGGAAGTACTACTTTTAAAAAAAAAACTATTTGTTTTAACCCTTAAGAAACGAGCAGGCTTCTAAACATTTCAAACACAAATGTTAAAACTGTATTTTTATGATTAGCTTTAATTGGTTAAACTTTAACTTTCAAAATAAAACACAGTTTTTATGAAAAGGGTTTTATGAAAATATTAAATAATAAATCCAAATCTGGTTAAGTTTTAAGCATATATGGTTTTAAAATCATTAGCATTTCAATACGGAGATCGTGGGTGAAGTAAGTTTGATAAGTGCGCAAAATCAACATTTACAACGCCAACCTTTTTTCCTACTCTGTATTGCTTTTAATTTCTAAAATATTTACCAATTTATTCTCATTTAAAAAAAAATGTTATTTCTAGGACTTAATGCAATACTAAACTTAATGCTTTTCTAAGCGTACAGAATAGGAGAGACCGGGGCTAGTTGGCTCACTTTTAACATTTGTATTTTTAATTTATTCAGTTTTATGACTTTAAAGCTCAAAATACACCTAACAGTTCACTAACTTGTAAGCTACATAACTAATTTAAATTGCCATCTTAATAATTAATCTATAATTGACAAAAAAAATAAAACTTAAAAAAAATAATCAGGCCAACTTACCCCGTGTACGGGGCAAGTTGACATGACCACTGGGGCAAGTTGCCACACACATGAATATAATCAGTTTTTCCTTATTTATTCATTTATTTAAATTTAGGTATTGTTAAAATATAACAAACATAATAATTAATGAAGCAACAGTATTTTTAAAGTTAAAAATAACCATATTGTGAAAAATCTTATCTCTCCTTTGAAGTCAAACATTATAAATTATAATACAAATATATTCAAATTTCCCTATTTATTATTTAACTAAGGGTATTTCTAAAACATATCAAACATAATAATTAATGTAACAAGTAATTTAATAAAATAACAACTGTAAAACTTATCTCACCTTTGAGATCAAACATTTTAAACTTAAATCTAATCTCTTCTTTGAGATCAAAAATTTTAAACATAATCAAGATCAAACGTTTTAAATTTAAAACTTATCTCTCCTTTGAGATCAAAAATGTTAAACATAATCAAGATCAAACATTTTAAATTTAAAACTGAACTCTTCTTAGAGATCAAATATTAAAAATTATCACAGTTAATTAACAGGTAAAAGGTAGGTTAAAATTACTTAAAATTTATTCATCTGAAAATGATTCGTCATCCGATTCGCAATGATGACAAATATAATAATCCTCGCCGGTTGTACAATCTTCGTGGGACCATTTTTTGCATTTAACACATGACACCCACTTTTCATTGGCCCGACTAGATGAGTAAGATTCGCAGCACACTAGACAATATGCATCTTCATCGTCACTTGAACTTGTTCTTCTTTTCTTAGAATTCTTATTTGCAGTACTTTTTTGTGTCTTCTTTTTTATTTGAAATAATTTTTTTTTAACTTTTTTATTATCGCATGTTTTTTTTACTTGACATTTTTTTCTTGCTTCTAGCTTGTCCTTTTCTGGAGTATCAGTCAAAATTGCCGTACACCTTTTTCTCGGATGTTGTCTTCCTTGTTTTCTAGCACCAGCTTTAGGCAGTGGTCTTATGTCTTCAGGAGATTTTTGTATAATTTTTTCATTTTGAGTATTTGAAGTAGAAGCTACTGCTGGTATTGACACTACAATATTTTCAACTTGTTGAATAACAGGGCTATTAGATTCTAACTCTTGAATATTATACACCTGACTGGATGTAGAAGGCATTAGATCAAGATCTTTGTTTAGTTCTTGAGTAGTCTGGTTTATAGGGTCTGGTTGATTTTCAGTTTCAATGTTTAAAGGCCGGTCTGTCACATAACTTGGCATAAAATCTATGTCTGTAAATATTTGAGGATTAAAGGGATATATACCACTGACTGTAAAACCAGCTGTAATATTATTTGGTGTAGCTGCTAATGGCAATGCCTGTTTCACCATTTCAGGAATTTCATAAATCGTCATGGTTTTACCAGGATTGTTCACCATCCATGAGTCAAAAGCCGTACTAATATATTTTTTCAGGGGTCCATACACACTCCTATCTAAGGGCTGTAATTTATGAGAACAATGAGGGGAAATGATAGAATTGTAATTCCATTTTCTTTAGAGTAATTCAGGCCCTCTATAGATAAATGTGAGTCGTGATTGTCTAATAACAAAAGAACAGGTTTGGTTTTTGAACACCTGACATGACTAACAAAATGTTTTAAATAATCAATGAAGTGAGTTTCTTTCATCCAGCCCGAGGGATTAGCACTACCTGCACAACCTAATGGTCCTTTAGCTATGAAGTGATCTTTAAAATGTACTCTTGGGAAAATGAAGTATGGTGGTACACTATTACCTAATGCTGAAACTGCAAAGGCTAACGTCACAAGTGTGCCTCTTTCTGCCGACGTTATTTTGCCAATTTGTTTAAAACCTCTACGTGCAACAATTTAGTTTGGTTTTTGGACAGTGGTTATACCCGTCTCATCCATGTTATATATGTCACCTGGACCAAAATTGTAACGATTTAGTACGGTCATTAAATTAACAAAAAACGAGTTAACATTAACTATGTTAAAACTAGATGCGCGGGCTAAACTAGTGGCTTCTGGTATACGTATCGACAGGGCGACGTTTTTTAAAACCAGTGAACCAATCTTCTCCAGCAAGTTCATTTTCAGACCAATTTTTTGGGATGTTAGTTTTATTTAAAGAGCTAGCATAATCAAACGCTAATTTTCTTACTTCTTTCGGGGATAAGCCAAAATAAATATCAGCAGCTTTTTTAATATATTTTGCTAATTCTTCTTCTTCGACAATCGAAAAAACTTGTCTTGGTTTTGTATATCCAATAGAATTATTAAAAATCTCAGAGTTATTAATATATTTTTTACAGTAACTAGATAAAGTTTTAATAGGTATATTAAAATCATCTGACACACTCTTACGTGAATACTTTTCACTCAAAACCATTTCAACTGCACGTTTCATAACATCCTCTGATACACGTCCTCTATCAGACTTGCGTTTGTAATTTCGAACCATCTATAATATGAACAAATAGAAATTGTTAGTAATATTATTTAAAAAAAATTGTACAAGACAATATGCCCCAGTTTTAGAAGACCAACTAGCCCCAAATTGCTTTTTCATACTTTTTAAGTAATTATGAACATCAGGGACAATATAATTATTAAAAAATAGCTGAATCGTATTTTACATACCTTGTACAGTTGGTTTACTCTGCTGTAAATGTTTAAAAAAACAATTTAATTCGGTAAAAACGAAATTTTTAAAACGTTAAAAAAAAAAACGACAGCTGATAACAATATTTATTGATTATAAGATTAAGGAAAAATCATATAATCACTACGAATTGTACAGTGATAAACAACGATGGACATAATACAATGCTGTTGATGCAGTGTGTCCAACTTAAACACTCGATTTTAAAAATCGACTTGGTCAACTTACCCCGGTACCCAACTAGCCCCGGTTTCCCTTACACATGTCACGTACAATACAATAATCTGACTGAATTACATATCAAATGTAGGTAGATAAGTTAATCTCTACAAGATTATTGTGATATACTCTCAATCAATAAAATGTTGTAGTGATAAATATTCGGTATAAGCATTCATACGTTGAACCGAGTTAATATAATCATGATTATGCTGTTTAAATACATAATTATGTTCTACTGTGTCGTTTCACTAGTAATACTTTAGTTACTACAAGGGTTTACAATGGCATTACTTTAAGGATTTTAAAAATATAATTTTCTTCTGTCCGTAATATCAAATATGTTGTTGATCATGTGATACACTAATATAATATAATATAGCGAGTAAAGCGAGTGGAATTTGGTATTTGAATAAATAACACACCACAAATAAATTAAATGATTAAACACACTACTATTGTCAAACACATAGAGTAATTACAATAATAGATTATATTATTACATAGCATGGTATGAATCGCCAGTATTAAAATCGAATTGCTTTCACAAAAATTTGTGTTTTTTTTAGAGGTTTTATAACACTTGACATTCTTGTAAAATTACTATGTATATAAATCTAAAATAAACCTTTATTTCTTTTTAACTTTTTTTATTTATTATTACGCATAATAATAAATGCAGCACGCGACTAGTTCTAAGTCTATATAGTCACAACTGTCTTAGCAAACACATAGCGAACAAGTAAATTATGAACAAACGTTTGACTTTAATTTAGGACCTTCAATAGGTACTTTTAGAACACATAAAGTTTTACATTAAATCATTTTTTTTTCAACAGCATTTCTTTCCTAGGCAACAATTTCTTTATTTATTAAAAATATACCACTAAACAAAATTCAATTCAAATATAAAAATTCATAGAGTTTACATCATAGATATTTTAAATCAAATTACTTATAACAATGTTGAAGTTCCGTAGTTTGACACGTTTCCAAAGTACACTTGGAAAACCAAGGCCAGTGTTAAAACAAATTGATATTCCTTCAAAATTTGCTATAGTTAGTGTGTTAGTGTTATTATTTTCCTAGTAGTTACTATGATTTTTAATCCTAAATTGTATATATTTGTAGTTATTAACAGGGTGCGGAAGACACGATGGCACCAATCCCCTAGTAGCCTCATCTATATTTGTTCACATGTCGCGATTGAAAATTCCATTTCAATGCTATGCTCCACAAAGAAACCTAACCGAAGTGTTTAATCACTTTAAAGTAAGACCTAACTTTAAACAACAATTTGCAAGAAACACATTTTATTAAATTAATGGCCCTCTAAGTATGGTATCGGTCAGGCAAGTGAGACAGATGATTCTTAGACCTTTATTTGTAATCACCTACAGTTACCTATAGGTGGTGGGTAAGTGCCAAATTTGAATTTGGATTTCCACCTGTAACTTAAGAAATGGAAAGTTTTGTGTTATGAATGCTTGAATAGGAAAAAAAATTACTTGCCTCATCAACGTCTTCTGGCATCGTTAGTACCCATGTGAACACAGGTCTCGACAACGTATATGATATTTCACAATTAAAGTTTTATTGGTACTATACAACTGGGTGATCAACTATTTGGAAGTACAAGTCTCTTTTTATTTGATTAAATAGCTCAATAGTTTGTTTTAATAGAACGTCATACTATTTGTTAGTATAGAGACAGAATACAATTAACATTATAATTTACTGAAATTTGTATTTTCATTTTGTAGAACAAAACTGAGTTGCAACCGCCTTACCGGTGTGCATTAATCGAGTCTGCCAGGATAGCTAGAGGGAATGTTTTACCGTTGCACAAATTGAGGAGTAACGTATGTCATCATAAAGCCCTAATTATTCCGGACGGACAAGGATCGATAAAGACAACGTCAGAATTTAGTATTGTCTATTATATTATGTGCAATATAACATTATTTAATTGTGGAATTTTAGATTGGATTTTGACGAGGGGAAAACCATTATCCCCGAGGTCGAATATGTTTTAAAAGAATTTATAAATGCTAGAAAACCAATAGGATTTATGGGAATTTCAGCATTATTAGCTCCTTTTGTGGCCAAACACCCTACAATTACGTTGGGCAAAAATGGTAATTACATGCAGCGATAGATTAAGTTTTATATTGAGATTTGTTATTTGATTGTGCTAGACGATCAATGCAAATGGCCGTTTAGACACTTTATACCGATTGCAGAAAAGCTCGGAGCAAACGTTTTGTTAATGGAACAAAATGAAATTTGTCACGACAACAAAAATTTGATGTATAGCACACCATCGACTTTGTATTCTGCGCCCAATGGAAACGTTGTAGATATTCACGATGCTTGTTGTTCATTTGTAGCATGCATGTACCAAATAGCTGACGTTTGTAATAAAAACAATTCTATTAAAAATTGTACACAATAAAATTTCATTGGTTATTATTTTAGCGAACGTACAGGGAATTTTAAAGCTAATTTGAGAAAGGAGGGTAGGAGAATTAATTTTCCGGACAGAAGTCATTAAAGGAATGATAAATCAGCTGCGTGCCTACGATAAGACAAGGGAGGAAGGTTAAGAAAGTATTGGAGAGGATAGTATTCGCGAGGAGGACAAGGGATGCGAAGTCAAAACACTGCCTTGCCACTCGTAAAAAGCGCCTCTGGACTAATTCATTTATAGCTCAGTGGTCTGAAATAGCACTTTAGGTGGACTTAAGTCAATTTTAACATATAAAAACTTTTACAAGCACTTTTTATAAAGTGCATGTAGTGCATATATTGAATATAACCTATAGAACTTGGACATTTATTTTGAATGGAGATATATTTCCTTATTATTTTCTTATATTACAATTTGTAATCGACAGTAGAGATTTTCCACAAAAAAACGCTATTTAAGCTACTCTATTGAATAGGTATTAAATATTATTACACGATATAGCAGTGAACCCAAGTAAAATATTTTTGATTAAAATGTAAAAAAAAATGATAATGATTCTCATTATTAGTCGACATTCAACAGAATGGTATTGCTAATTGCTATTACAAAGATTTCAAGGCGGATCAATCCATCTTGGATATTACTATGCATAGACTTATATTCAGAGCCTGATTTAATGAAATTAGGGCCAAGTGCACCAACCTATTAGAGACCCCCAAGTCAAACATTTTCTGAAAAAATCAGCAGAGAGTGGAGGAAGAAACGTCGGTAATTAAAACAAAATGTTGTTTATGTGTTAAATACCTATCTCATAAAATATTTGTACATTATTTTATGTACTATAAATACAATTTTAAATCATATTAAAAAATTAGAATTTTAATATAATTTAAATTAAAATAAATAAATTTGCAGTCTCGCTTTAAAATGAAAAAATAACTTATTATTATATATAATTAAAATTACGTTTGTTAACAAACAGGAAGTTGTCACGATCATTTGCTTTTAGGAGATAAATAAATCTATTTATTTCATATGTATTTTTGTAATGCTAATGTTTTATGATTTAATACAGAAAAAGAAAAATGAAATAGAAATAATGTTACATTTCTGTTTTTTATAACATATTATAAAAAAGTTAAATAATTACAATGATTTCTATCTTGCTTTTTTCGCTGCAAACGTTTCAATTGCCGAGTCAAAGTTTATCGATGACGTAACATCACTCTCAATAGTCAATAAAGCCAACCCGTCTAAACGTTACTGTGTGATACAAGACCTCATGCGTGTTTTGATTCGTTTCAACGCTGAAAAAGATCTCTCACTAGAGCAGTTGGTAGACGGTATTGTTAGGGGTATATATTTTGTAATAATATTTCAATATTAAGAAATGTATGACGTATATCTGCTCATCTGGAGTGATTGACTTAACCAAATCACATGCATTTTCAAACTGTGACAACTCATTACCGTTGTGGCCAGAAAATTCGGGCACCAAACGCCGCACTACGGTATCCATTATTTTACTAGCGGAAAATACATCATTTCCACTTATGGAACCGTTGTTATCCTCCATATTTGTATCAAGAGAGTTACCTACTACTACCTATTTCAAAAATACGCGACTGAGACAATAAGTCTACTACAGACTCAGAATCTCCCAAACTTATATCCAAACTCTTATTCATAAAACTAACTTAAACTAATGTTACAATTACTTTTCAATTCTTACAAAAACTGGAGAATTTTCAATGTTGATGACGTTCCGGAAATCCAACACGAAGATGAAGTTGCACAGCAAGGAAAGAAATAACTCTTGCCTGATACTTAACGTCGCCTAGAATCGTTTCTCTAAACTGAAAAGTTCTCAGGCCGTTGACACAGCAACCGCCGCACAGTGGTCTGAAACGCAATTTTAGCTGTAAAAAACTTATATTGATCAAATTTTCATCAGATTTTGTCTAAAAAATTATAAAAAAAATGGTACTTAAGGTTTTTGGGGTCAAAGAGTTCAAAATTTGTATCAATTTTTAAATTCACGTATAATTTTAAGATGCAAATAAACATAATATTTTGTTTTTAAATTGAAATTTAACTTTCGTAAACTTCTTCATCTGTTTCATAACTTAAATTTAATAATTATTTTACGTCATTGTCCAATTAATTTTTTTTTGTTGTTGGTATGTTGCAAATTGAGGAAATATATGGATCTAAAGTGACAAGTAATAGGTGTAGAACGTCTTCATTTTGAGCTACTCTACTAATTTTTCGCGAGTGATGTTCGCGATAATTTTTATAGTCTTTATTTCAAGCTTCCTGTGCTTCCTCGGAAAGGTGTCCTTAAAAATTTTCATATTACATTAGTTAATTATAATAAAGTTTATAATGGCTTTTACACCAAAGTCTTTGTAAAACCAAAGTAATATTTAAAATTGAATGGTTGACTAACTTAATGTATTGCGGTTCCCATTTTACATTTTCAGACCGTGCCCTCAAAATTTCAAATAAATAGTTTCTCGATTTTAAAGAATGGGGATTTAGTGGACCTCTATTTTTTAATAGCTGATAAAAATCATTATAAGTATAATACCGAGAATCAGTGGTATTCCAATTCAAATTGTCGTCAATTTTAGAATCATTTATTCCAACACTGCCGCTAGAGCTACCTACAAAAAAAATTATTAAAAATACAGATGCTAATTGATGCAAACCAAATTTTGGGATCTGGTACTGAAGAATAAGTACTATATTGTCTATATATTAAATAACGATTATTATGAGTTATTTTTTAGTTATACGCTTTGATATATTAACATTTTTTTACTACTTTTTAACTTTGTTTTAATAGTAAAATAATAAATATTTATGGTATTAATATGAAACACTTACCTAAGTTTTCAAAATTCATTATTTATATGAAACTAATAAAAAAAAAAAAGTTAACCTGTGTATAATATACTAATGAACTTTAATGTAAATCGGTGAACGATTCGACGTTTGTGAGCGCGTTATTATGTTTTACTTATCGCTTGCGCCGCTTGATAATGTCAATATTATCTGAAATTCTATTTTTATGTTATATAGAACTTATATACAATGGGTTAATGACATAAAATACCTATTTTTATGAATTTTAATAATTGACTTTATTCCACCTAAATTAGCTTTTAGACCACTGTGCGCCGCCTTTGTATTCCCTCGTATCTCCGATTCTTCTACTGGTAGAATATCCGAGTAGTCAAGCCGTAGGTTCTTTAATAGGGTTATACCTGGTTTCGGCACCAAAATAATGTCCCTGTTGTAGACTTCAATGTACAAGTCCAAGTTCGTGACCAGATCATAGGAGATATACCGTCAGATTTGTATAATCAACACCACAAGTATTGTTATAACATATATAATTATTAATATTTCACGTAACATTAGTATAGTTATTTCAATAGAGTATTTAATACTGGATAAATATAATAACTGCGTATATAGTAGTACAATAATTATAAGTCTAACACAGCACAATTCAGTTGAGTTCACAAATCACGAATAAAAAGTTATATAATAACAAATGAACCCGATGGGTAATGCAAGGTTTATCTACTTCCTACACATATTGATAGCCACCGTGAGGACTACGCTCACAACACCTCCTCTTTTAAAGAAAGGGTTATTATTTTGTTATTAAGCCTTACTTTATCCAGTTATATCAAATAGTTTTATACTATTATACCCTTTTCATGCGATTCTTATCAAGTTTCTATGTGTAACATTTAACGATTCGGTAGTAGATGGGTACGCTGACCCCTACAGTACTATGCCATATGATAAAACAGACTCAACCAGAGCAAATTATACATTACGTAAAGTAAGTAAATCTAAGGTCATATTTAATTCTTCAACCACAAAATAAAGCTTCCTTGATCTCTTGGTATTTATATTTGTTTGTGTTTTGCATTTCATATCTTCATAAAAAAAGTTCCCGAGTATTTAACTTTACAAACACGATTTAATTAAAAATAATCGGAGTCGCAATTTAGATTTCCCAAATATTTAGACTAGTGATTTTCTAGTGCAATTATTTTAGGTAGAGAAAAATTGAGTAAAGCAAATGACATAAAAACAGTTTTGCTTGTATTACACGAAAGAGAGTTAGTAGCTAACCAATTTTTTACTGTGATAAAATCTTGATCAAATAAATCATTAATATAAATAAAAAATAGTAGAGGTCTGACGCGGTAGAAATGGGGGGTAGAAGTAAATAGAAACGAAAAAAACCCGATTTTAAAGAGTTAAGGTTTTTTTTTATTTTTTTTTAACTTACAAAAGAAACGTGGTAAAACGTGAATACGCGGGACGGCGGCGGATGGCAAACCGGACCAATGTTAAATTAATAACTGATTATCGGATTGCCTACAGTGGTCATCGCCGCCGTGTTTCGCTGTAAAGATGACACCCCCCGGACCTCTTCATACACCGACGGCCGGCTCGGGCCGATATAGTAGTTTATCTTTCCCACCTGCGGTGAGACGGTGGACAGTTGATAACACGACCGGGCGCACATTTAATCGCTAATGACGGAAACATGCACTTGCAGACCGTGTCAACCCTCCCCCACTAAACGGTCCAACCGGTGAACTTAATCGGTGTCTGTTCCTCCCTGTCTTTCACATCTCCTCGAGTGACATCGCTGAAACCTTTTTCAGGCAAGCGGGCCATCAGAGCACTCGCATCGCACCGGTGACCTGATGGTCAAGGGCGGGCGTAGTAGAACTGAGAAGGAGGGGACAGGGAAAGGAAAGAAGTTGGAAGGTGGTGTCTGACGGTGGTTGGAGGAAGATGTCGATTTCCTCGATCGTATGGTCAACTTGACCATCGACGGTGACGTCCATCATTGCATCCTCTTCCTCCTCTGCCGTTGGTGTTACCGGGGCATGTGTCCTCGGTGTGGGGATTGGTTGCCTCTTCGCCGAGGTCTTCCCTGAGTCGGTCTGTGGCGTTGGTTTCTCCAACCGATGTTGCTGGGATATCCGACTCCTTTCTT